TAGCAATTATTCCTTGATGTTAGAAAGACAGTATGATCCAGAGGATCACAAATTTTATCCATTTTCTGTTTACTTTTTCTTTTTGTTCATGGAAGCAATAAAAATTAGGAAAAGTATATAGAGCATGACTTCTAGGATTCTTTCCAACCACTTCACTATCAGCGGCTATAGGAAGCATCTGTATTTTTCCATTTAGCATTACTCTCTCTGTGTTTCTAATTTTTACTAGGGTTGTACCTATGTTTTTGTGCTGGTGGCACAATGGTTAGAATGCAGTATTGCAGGCTAATTCTATCCACAGTCTGGAATTTGATCCTAATGGGTTCCATCCTTCTGAGGTTGGTAAAATGAAGACCCAATTGCTAGTTCCATGAAAAATATGTCCATAAGGATATGCTGGAAGAAACTTTTTCTACAGTGTTTTTCTTCATGGCGCCCAGACTGATTTTTTAGCTAGATCTTTCATTTGCTGTTTTCTTTCTCCACATCAATTGGGTCTTGTTCTGTTCAATTTTTGGAGAATTGTTAATCTGTGGTTAAGAATATTTGGAAATCCATGATGGGACCTAATATTTTAAGTAAAAAACTGACATAGGCTGGTAAAAGTCTTACAATATAGCAAAGATTACCAAGAGTCACTGAGTTTCCTCTCACGTCTATTAAGAAAGGATATTGGGCCAATGAGTTGTCTTAAGAATGCAGCATGTTCAGGCCCCATTCATTAGGTATTAATATTTGCTAGGCTAGCTCTGTGTGTGGGGACATATTAACAGGTTTTGCTGGGAAAGGGATCATTATTACTTGCTGCTTAAAGTCACTTTGAGAAACATTAATATGGTGTAATTTCAAATACTGTAAATAAATAAATGAACTGAAACAAGCATGAGCAGACAGTATTTCGCCTTTAAAATTTATATTAAAAAGTGCAGCTATTTTCATTAGGAAGTTTCATCTGATGGGAACGTCATCCCCCAAGAAGAGATTAGCCCTGAATCTATTGGCCTTCTGGAAGGCCCTGAAAAATTGGTAGGGGATCCTATGGAAAGATGGAGTCCCCGAAAAAGCTGTATTGTGTGCAAGAGTCTAACTGAAGTCTCTCGTGTTTTCTGGTTATAGTTTTTAATTGTTCTAATAGTTTTATTATAATTACTTGTTGTTTGCCTTTGCATTTTAATTGTGTATGCTGCCCAGGATCACTTATGTGAAATGAGTGGCTATATAAATTGAACAAATAAACAAACCACCTTAAGAATAATACATTGAAATAGTTTTACTGTAGTAAACAATAGGAATATGTAATATGCTTGTGAGATTATTTTTAAAGCCTTCATTCTTTTCTAGAAATACTCTGTGGCATGAATGGATACCCAAGTGCAACCTAGTATTGACTAACAGGAAGGCTCTGAGACAACATGCTTAATTTTCATGATTTACTTATAAAAATTATATTGGAAGTAAAATGAAACAATTGTCAATTTGCATCAGTTTAATCAACTGTGAGATCAAAAAAGGTGTAGTGTAAAAATAATTTCTTCATTTTGCTTATAAAAGTTGATTCTTATAATTGTAATCTTGTCTCCTAAACATGAAGATATTGCTGTTATATGACTGCAAAAGCATTCTGCAGGTTTTTCTTACAGTACTGACATCAGAAATGTGGGTAGATTCCTTGGAGAAGTGCACCCAAATACACACACACAGCTTACTGTTGTAAATCCCCAAATGTGGATCAATGAAATAGAAAATGTTATTCTTAGAAGTGCTGCGTAGTCATCATTATCAGGGTTGCATTGATATGAGCCTCTTTGGAAAAAAGAACTCCTCGGATTAATTTGATTTACCTATTATATATGAGTTTCAAATATTTCTTTTTTGGGGAAGAGAATATATACTGGCAACCCAGATTTCTGACTTCAGTCTAGATCCCTTCTTGTCCCCTCTCACATCAGTTGATTGATGGTTGGAGAAATGCAAGCAGGAATGAAGTCTGTTTAGCACTAAGCCTTTCCCATAAAAAGAAAAATTGAAAAATGCTTATTGTTGCATACTTGTAGACTCTTAATTAGCAGTTCAATGCAAATTTCTACTTTAGCAGAGGCAGGTTTTCATCATCTTCTTAATTCAATTATTCGCAAGAGCACACCTACAGTCACAAAGAATGATTATTCAACTATTCTTTCTCTGCTGAGCCACTCATCCTGAACAGAAATGCAAATATGAAATTTTTGACACAAGAATTTTGGGGTAATTTTAGTCCAGCAAAATACATGTAAAGAGCCATCCAGCATTCCTGAGCTTCTATAACCAGAGGAAATTATGAAATGAGAGTCCCAAATGTTCACAAGTATTTGGTATGTGTAGTGATTGTTATTTTATTTGTTAGAATAGTATTTTAAATGCCAAAGACATTACTGTTTCTGGTTTTAGGCTGCAGAAGAGGGGAATCTGTGATCCTATATTGTAAAATAATTCTAAAATAATATATGCAGAGTATATACAATATATACAGTATACTATATACCAGTGATGGCGAATCTTTTAGAAACCAAGTGCCTGCCCCGCCCCCCGCCTGCCCACAGGGCCACCCACTGCCTCCATGGCCCGCCACAGATCACCCAGGCAGCCCAGTAGCGCCATCGCAGTCCTCTCTCCGCCCATGCCCTGCAGCATCAACTGTGCGCAACGGGGCGCGACAGCGGAGTCTTGTCCCCACTGCCCAGCTGCTATGTCCTTGGCTGTGCTGCTCCACATGGGCCGTGCTCAGGGGCAACTCTCCTCTGGGGGGCTGCTGGTGAGGAAGGGGCCGTGGGGGAGGCGGGGCTGGGGCAACGGCACGGGTGTCCACAGAGAGGGCTCTGAATGCCGCCTCTGGCACGCGTTCCATAGGTTTGCCACCACTGCTATATACATTATATATACATTATATACAGCATATATAGTATAGGTGCAACAGTCCCCTCTGCCCCACTCCTCAGATGCATGTATTTTGGGTGACATAAGTACAAATGTATTTATCAGGGAGCATTCTGATACATAGAATTTCTTTGATATTAAAAAAAATCTATCATATAATGGAAACTAGATTCTTTCTGATCTCTTTGCAATAAACTATGTTCTGTGTTACTATGTTGAGATATTACATATATTTCTTTACAGAACTAAAGGCTGCAAATTTAAATGCTTCCTTTAAAAGCCCTAATCTATAATTCATAAAATGTAGATGAACATGTCTTTTACTATTTTAATGCTACTTAAAGATTTTATTACTACATGCCAACTTACAAGGCAGTTATGTGAAGATGAAGCATTTTTAACAAATGGAACTGAATAGTTCTGAGTGATTTACACATAAAGATGTATAGTTTGGCAGTGTACATTACAATACACAAGGAATAAATAGCTTCCTTTCACTTTTATTTTATTTTATCTGTTCTATTTATTTTGATTTATATGGCTGCATACCTCAGTATCATGATTCTGGGCAGTGAACAACAATTAAAAACACAACAAAACAGTAAACACATAATCAGCAGCTATGACAGAACCCACAAGTATCAGCATAACCATCTCCCATGTATTCCAATTCCATGTCCAGTGATATGGGCAGGTTTCAAGGTCTGATGAAAGCTGACAGGTTTGGGGGCTCATCAGCTCTAGAGGGACAGTGTTTCAAAGAGCATGTGACAGAAAAGACTCTTTTCCTGGGTCCCCCGATAGAACTTTTTAATAGAGATTCAATAGCATATCCCTCTGCCCAGATCTGATGGTAAAAGTAGACAAAATCAGGCAGAGGCAGCTACCATCAAGGTAACAGTCAGATAAAAGAAACAGAACATAATCCAAGAAAATGTCTCAGACGAAACTGTCCCTTGTTTATTCTCATGAAAATAAAGGGAGGGAGGGGGGAACTGCATTCAGACTTGAAGATTCTGTTACAGTAAGTTTATAGTAAAAGTAGTGCTGGCTGACATGGCTTTGATTTCCTACTATGGTCTACCTTGAAGAGCTGCCTTCAGAGGACAATTCTCAGCCAGGTGAATAAACTCAGATACAGGGGTGATGTGGGTGCCGTTGCAGGAGCTAAATAATCAGGTTAAGGATAGATCATGAAAAATATCTAGGTGGTCATTAAGAGTCAAAACAACTTGATGACAAATGATCAATCAGTTATTTTTTTTTAAATATCGGACAGTCTAAATACTGTTTAAAATATTATTTGCCTCAATTCTAGAAACATACATACATACATACATACATACATACATACATACATACATATTCTGTCAGCCATCTCCTTCAGCTATTTATTCCAAGTTGAATTTCTCTTTGAGAAAAGAGCAAACATTTTAATTTCTGAATCATAATTTGGTAATAACTTTATTAGGATTAACTAACAGCTTTCATGATCTCCAAAATTCTTCATTATGCAGGATGTTACAAAACATACAGGCTGGAGAGATGGAAATCCTAAGAATGAGACCAGATGCTATAATTATGAGGTGTGTGGCTATGAATTCTAGTCTTAGGCACAAAGCCAGCTAGGTGACCTTGGGACAGTCACTTTTCATCCATATGAAGAAGGCAATGGCAAATCACCTCTGAAGAATCTTGCCAAGAAAACTGCAGAGACTTGTCCAGGCAGTCTCCAAGAATTGGACATGACTGAACAGAAGAAGAAAAAAAGTAGTTTGAATGTAGTGGACGCAAGTTTTAACAACAAAGCAAGCTTGACATTTTACAAAACTAAGTAGCTGCTAATCAATTTCTAATCATTAGCAAACTTTAGGTTCCTGGTTCGACAGAAAAGAGAAACTTAACAGCACTTATATCAGCAAAGCCATAATTTTGTTGTTTGTTAAATCAGTGACAATATCTTCATTAAAGCCTACTGAATAGGTAGGGCAAAAACACCCCTTCCCCTTTTTGTTCTTCCCCTCCCCAGCAAACTGGATCATCTCTCCAATATAACTTTGTGAAAATGTTTGTGTTCTCTGTTTCAGCTCATCAGTGATGGTGGTGTGGTCTATGCAGAAGCACTCTGGGATCATGTCACTATGGATGACCAAGAACTAGGTTTCAAGGCTGGCGATGTTGTTGAAGTAATGGATGCTACTAACAAAGAATGGTGGTGGGGCAGGATAATGGAGAATGAAGGCTGGTTCCCAGCCAGCTTCATACGGGTAAGAACCCATGTAACCTTTCATCAATGAACTGGGCAGAGAAGATAATTTGAATGCATCGTTGTGTGGTTTAAATACTGCTGCCTACTAGGTTTAATATATTTTTCATACAGCAATAATTGTAGTTACCTGTCTTTATTTTTAAACTGTGTAAACATATTTTTGGATTTATATTGATGTTTTGTATATTTCCCATGTTTATTGAGAAAGACAAAAAAAAAAAAAGGTTGGCAATTGCATTGGTCCTAGAAGAACTATCACTTCCCATGATTTCGACACCATATCTCTGTGGATGCAATCCAAGATTGTTAACAATATCATTAATGTTCCCTTCTATACAGCAATAATTTGTAGTTACCTGTCTATGGTGCTTATAAAGTTATAAATACTTGATGTATAAAACAAAAACATATTTTAGGATGAAGATGCAGTGTTGAATATATGTTATACAGCTGTCTTATGCTATTCATATAATATGCTGTCATTTGCTCTGTATCCACATTAGTAAAGACACTGTTGGATAAGTACTTCCAATGGATTCTTTATATACTGGAGATAAAGTCCTTGATTTTTTTTTAAGAAAAAACATTGATCAATGATCCTACTGGCCAATTACCTAATTCACCACCAAGTAAATACTTAACCTTTAATATCATAAATTGTGATATTGCACTGGACATTCAAGAGGTGCTGAAGTACAGGGATACAGTAAGAGAAATTGAATTATGCAAGTTTAAAAACATAGCCAGCTCCAATCCTTGAATTCTGAAACATAGAACTCCTCCGTGTGAACCCCATATCCTTTATTAAGATAGCTTCTGCAACTCTTTATTAGTAAAAGTTTCTTTCTTTCTCCTTCACATCTGTGATATGGCCGTGGCTCATTACAAGTACATTACTGTAATTGTAATGTAATTACAATTACAATACTCATTACTGTTACCTGTTCCTTCTAAGATGCTTAAAAGAGTTTGTTGTTCTTGAAAAAATAATTGAATGCAGCAGTACTACAGATATTGGAAAAAGAGTAGTCAGAGTACTTTATTGGTTTTAGAAAGAAAGCAAAAATATTGTATTACTGTTGAAATAAATGTAATAATAGCAAAATAGACAAATGGATTACTAGATGAAATGGTACAGAGATTAATTAGGGATTTTTAGGTCCATACCGTAAGCCAAGGCTTTTCAAATTCTTATTAGACAGAATACATCTCACAGATTTGATATTTTTACATCGATGCCCAAACTCCACCTCCGTCTCAGTAATTGAATAATGTTAAGATAATAATGCATATTCGATATAGCTCCGAGTAAACCAGGATGAACCAATTGAAGACTATCCTCTGAAGTTAGAAGACGGTCGGGAAGAAGATGGAAGAAATGCTGCTCATCGCTATGGAATGGGGCATACAACAAAAGATCAAATGAGAACCAATGTTATTAATGAAATTCTAAGCACAGAGAGAGATTACATCAAACACCTAAAAGACATCTGTGAGGTAATGAGACATGTAAATAATATGTGTTGTTTGCTAGCAGTGGTTCTCAACCTTTCTAATGCCGTGACCCCCAAGTGGGTGTGGCTACCAATAAGAGGGAATAGGACAGCTAGGGAAAAGGGAAAAAAATGGCGGACAGCGTGGTTTGGCGACCCCCGTGAAATGGTCATTTGACCCCAAATGGGGTCCCGACCCACAGGTTGAGAACCACTGTTTGCTAGTGTCAACATCGTTTTAGACATTGTCTATCCACTGCAGGATGAAGGCCTCTTCATCCAACATGTTTCTAACCAATATGGTCCTGAGTTTTCTTTTGTCAGTTGGGCCTGTAATGCTTGCTGATGTCATCGATCCATCTTGTTTGCTAGTGTACTTTGGTCAAAGATGTTGATTGGCTGATGTTTAAGAAAAAAAATAAGAATTCTAAAAAGCTCTAGAAACATAGAAAACTGACAGCAGAAAAAGACCTAGTGATCTATTGAGTCTGCTCTTTGTTTTTATTTTTGTTGTTTTTGTTTTCTTTTTAATGTATTTATGATTTTTAATTTTAATTTTTTAATTTTTGTCAGATGATGGGCATATGTTTATCCCAAGCATGTTTAAATTCAGTTACTGATGATTAACTCACTATTACCACTGGAAATTGATTCCAAGTTTCCACTATTCTTTCTGTGAAGTAATACTTTCTAACATTACTTTTGAACTTCCCTCCTGTTAGTTTAAGTTTATGCCCCCGTGTTCTTGATTTTTGCTTAATATTGAAAATACTGCCTTTTAGAACCTTATTCCCACCCTTAATATATTTAAAGATTTCAATCATATTCCCCCTTTCTCTTCTGTTCTCCAGACTGTTGATACTCAGTTCCTCCCTCTCTCCTGATATGTTTTGTTTCTCAGACCTTGTACCATTTTGTTACCCATCTCTGGACTTACCCAATCTTATCAATATCTTTTTTTAAGTAAGCTCTCCAGAGCTGGACACAGTTTTCCAAATGGGGTCTAACTAAAGCCCTATATCACAGGATTAAGACCTCCTAAAGCCCTATATCGCAGGATTAAGACATTTTTGCTGATGTTTCCTCTTGTGATGTATCCAAGAATTTTGTTTTCCTTCGCAACTGTTTACACATTCTGCAGTGTTCTGTCCCAGCCTACGCGAATACTGCTCAACTGCTTACTCGCAAGAAGAAAAAAAAAAACCTTGCATTGAACCAAGCAGGACTTGGTAAGATAAACCCCTTTTATTTTGACACAGGTTTTATGGAACAAACTCCAACCAGCTGTTGAAACGAACAAGATCAGTCACTGAGTTCTCAGCTGGAATGCTCAAGGTTTAAGCCACTCAAACATACAGAAATCCAACAAATCTGGCTAAATATCCAAGAATCCTGAGGCAAGAAATCCAATGACAGAAGCACAAAGCCGTAGCATGAATGGTTGCTTTGGCCACTGGCCCCTCCCATGCCTCTCCTCTTTATAGTCCAGCCAGGGCATGGCTTCTTAGAGTCTTTTACCTTTTCTGGAGAGTTGCCCCACCCTCCTTTGTCCTGCACACCTTTCCTCCCTGTGCATCTGGAACAGGCCCCAGCTGCTCCTCGTCTTCACTCAGTTCAGGCCCCAAACCCAGCTGTCTCTCTGAGTAGTTGGGCCTGGTGTCACATCTAGCTCTGAGTCTTCGTGCTCCTCAGAGCCTTCCACAAACTCCGATGTGACCCCCGGCAACCCTTCCCCCTCATCCGATTCATCTGACTCGGCAACACTGCAGTAATCTGTTATGAGCACACCTAAATCATTTTCTTCTGTTGTTCCAACACTGTACCCCCAATACTGTACCCTGCCAGAGGATTCATTTTGACCAAGAGCATTATCTTACTTTTAGAAACATTGAACTGCAGTCTCCATATTTTCTGACTAATTTTCCAGCAATGCAAAATTGTTTTCCATGATATGAATACTCCCAGGGATGTCAACTCTATTACACATCTTCATGTCATCAGCAAAAATACAAACCTTACCTAGAAATCCTTCTGTTATATCACTTACAAATAAATTGAACAAAACAGAACCTAGGACAGAGCCTTGTGGTACACCACTGGTGACTAGTCTTTGTTCAGAGAGTGTCCCATTAACATCACACTCTGGGATCTATCCCTGAGCCAACTTCCTTTCTACTGAACCATCCAGTGATTAAGCCCTAGCCTATACAACTTTTTAAGGAGCTCATTATATGGAACTGTATCGGATGCTTTGCTAAAATTGAGATAAGCTATGTCCACAGCACCACCTTCATCCAAAACATTTCTGACATAGTTTAAAAGTCAGTCAGATTAATTTGATGTGATCTGCCCTCAGTAAAGCCATCCTGCTTTGGGTCCATCAAGTTGTGCTCTCTTAAATGTTTGTCAATTCTTTCTTTCAGGAGTGATTCCTTTAACTTCACTATTATAGATATTAAGTTTACTGGCCTATTGTTTCTAGCTTCTTCCTTAACCCTGTTCTTGTGGATGGGTACAATGTTAGCTGTTCGCCAGAACTCATCCTTGAATTAAATATACCACTATCAATCTATTTCTGCTATATAAGTCTTAAGCGCTGAATCCTTAGGGAATCTTTATTTGAGAAACCACAAGAGTGTGACAATTTCTGCCACTTAGATTTTTTTGTATTGAATTGAATGCTTTAGTTGGCCAAGTGTGATTAGATAGAAAAGGAATTTGTCTCCGCTACAGAAGATCTCAATGTACAGGCAAAGCAACAGAATAATAACAAACAAAATAATTATAATAATACCAATAAAAAGGGGGGGGGTAAAGAAGATAATTAGAAGGATAAAAAATAATAATACAGCCATACTACATGGGTAAATACACATAGACATTAGATACCAGTAGCACTGTGAGAATCAAGTATGTGACTCATCATCATCCTATATAAAATTTTATCAGGAATCTGAAAAAACCAAACTGAATAAAATGCCATTGAATCATTTTTTACAATTGTAGAGTATGTTTCTTTGAGTCTGACATGTAGATGCAATTTAGTTTTATTTAATATAAGGCGTGTATTAGGTCTGTCTCTAATTATGGGCAGACTTTTGAGTTTTGAATACAGAAATTCCAGATTTGTTTTTATAGTAGTTCGTCTTTTCATTGCATGTCAATAAGAGCTAAGTTGTTGTAGCATTATTATATTGTTCTTCTATCTATATAGCCTTTCGACTAAGACAGAGTAGAACTGCAGATTATTTTGACTCTGCATTACAATTTTTGACCCTTTCTAGGGCTATATAAAACAATGCCGTAAACGAGCAGATATGTTCACTGAAGAGCAGTTGAAGACTATATTTGGGAATATTGAGGATATCTACAAATGCCAGAAAAAATTTGTTAAAGCCCTGGAGAAGAAATTCAACAAAGACTGCCCGCATCTAAGTGAGGTTGGCTCCTGCTTCCTGGAATATGTAAGTTGACATTTGTGCAAGTAAGCAAGCTAAAGGACAGGGTTATCAGGTTCTGGAAATTGCAGTCAAGTGATTATCCATACCCCTCAGATGCATGAACTTCATTCCAAGAATTCCGAACAATGTCTATTCTGGACAGGAATTCTAAGAGAAAAAACCTACACACCTGTGATGGAGTGGCTGATGTATTAAGAATGCTCACTCCAAAGTTTCATTAAGCTCAGTGAACCCTGTTCCTGGAAATTGTATTTACAACCTCTTGTGGAACTCCAATTGAGAAAGGCTGGCCTAAGGTATTCTTTTATTGTCCAATTGAATTAATGCTATTGTTTAAGATATTTCACATGGTCCATGTATTCATTTATTTTAAACTATTTTCATTTGTATTTTGTGTTAGGCTGGATTATTGTGGTTTCAAAAAATAAAATTGATCCTGTTTTCCATAATACAATCTTTTGGCTTCCAATTCAGCAAAATGAGTTCCAGATCTATTCGGAGTACTGCAACAATCACCCAAATGCTTGTATGGAACTTTCCCGGCTTACCAAAGTGAACAAATACGTCTATTTCTTTGAAGCATGCCGTCTCCTTCAGAAGATGATTGATATCTCTCTGGATGGTTTCCTCCTAACACCAGTGCAGAAAATTTGCAAGTATCCCCTACAGCTTGCAGAATTGCTGAAATATACCAATTCACAGCATAGGTAAGGAGAAATGAGGATTAAAAAAAAATAGATGGAAAGAAAACTGTCATTATGTTTTAGTTATTCTAACAACTTTTGTTTATTGCCTACTGGTAACATCCCTTTGTAATTAAATTTAAGCAGTATTTTTTTTTTTTTTTGGAGATCTAACAGGTTATTCATCTTGATGGGCAAATTTCATTCTTTTCTGATAGCATTTAAAAACTAGTTGCCTTGTAACCGAAGAATGATTGCAAGTGATTAGTGCAGGTTTGAGAAGCTCTTTCTATAAAATCCTGAGATTCTGCCCACAATTTCCATTGCCTTTATCAGAAAGTGACATAAATTGCAACAGAGATAGGAAAGTAATAATCCATTTCCCTGCAGAATCAACAGAGTGAGGGAGGGTTAATGCTACTTCAACACTTGGAAAAACAAATTTTAAAGAACAATCAGCATAACTGACAGCCATTGCAAAGGTTTATAGTTTAGAAAAATAATAATCCAGTATCAAAATGTTAAATATAGTATTGTTAGTTCTCCAAAATTGGGATGATTACATCTTCATTGATCTCTCTCTCTCTCTCTCTCTCTCTCTCTCTCTCTCTCTCTCTCTCTCTCTCTCTCCCTCCCTCCCTCCCTCCCTCCCTCCCTCTTTCTCTCTCAAATGAGATACAGGTAGATATATTTCATTCTGACCCATAATTTCCTTGCCAATTTCTGGTACATTGCAATAGAAAGCTAGTTCTTTACATTTTTGTTCCATTTTTGCTCATATCTCTAAAGGAATCTATTTCATCTGTAGGGATTTTAAAGATGTTGAAGCTGCTTTGAATGCCATGAAAAATGTAGCACGGCTCATCAATGAAAGGAAGAGGCGTTTGGAAAATATAGACAAAATTGCTCAGTGGCAGAGCTCAATAGAGGACTGGGAGGTAAAATGCAAACGTCTTCAAAACAAGGAGCTACATGAACATTATTCTTGCTTATGTGTGCACAAACATAATTCTTCTATTGGGCAAGGGAATATCATATACTATCACATCCAAATTAATAAAATTTTACATATTTTAATTGATGAATTAATCTACTATTTCTGTCTGCTTGTTATTAAATTAAATAACCCTATTTATAAATTTGCAAATATTCCTATATGTTGGGGCCAAATGCTTAGCAATAAAAATCACAATTAAGTTAAATTAATTCTTAGTCTGAATTACAGTTACCCAGGAATGTTTTGAGTGTAATTAATGCCTTCCAGTTTGTTTTCAAATGGACTACATTTGTTGAAAATAGACTCTGCTTCTGTTTATAAGGTTCTGTACTTCAGAGCCTTAAGTGATACGAATTGTCACTGTTTTCTTAATAGGCATCAACACAAGCACATCATACGGTCATCTGTCAAAGGATAAAAAAGTTGAGAAGTATTTTCCTCTATCTGAAAAAACAAAACAGGGTGGATAAAGGGAAGATCTTCTTTTGAGCTAGTCATATACTGGCCACAATCTAACACAAAGTTAAATGCACTGAAGGTATCCACAGTAAATGCTGTTAAAGCTTTTGAGTAAATGTGCAAGCCTGTACATATATATTGTACATGTGCTTTGGATCTCCTCTCTGTTTGGATTGTGACCTTTTAGACACTATAAAAGAAGATTAAAATACAGAATATATTTACTGTACAATTGGTAATCATACCATTTGTGGAAATAAAGTCAATTGTAGTTCAATAATAAAATCATATATCCCATGGGAATAGAAAACATACTTGTACCAAAGTTCTGAATCTGCTCTGGGGTTACTCAACTTCAGTGAGGTTTATTATCATTGAAGCATGCTTGTCTAAATTTAGCTCTAGAAGTCCTTCTGCTCTGATTTGCCAAAAGTAGCATCCTCTAGTTATGTTGGATCACAGATCCCTTTATTCTCAAAGCACGTTGTTTAATGGAAAATATTACTCCAACTAGATTATTTTCAACACTTACTTTAGAATAGGAAGCCAGTTTACAGCCAAAAATCTCAACAAAAGATTATCCTCACTAGGCTTGAGTGAAAGAGCCATTTCAGTGTGACTTACATAAGACAGATGATGTAACACCTATGGGAAGCCTCAGGAAAGTATGGCTTAGACCAGGGGTAGGCAACCTTGGCTCTTTTATGACTCGTGGACTTCAGCTCTCAGAATTCCTGAGCCAGCCATGCTGGCTCAGGAATTCTGGGAGTTGAAGTCCATGAGTCATAAAAGAGCCAAGGTTGCCTACCCCTGGCGTAGACTTATTTTCAAAGTTATAGATACTTAGTAATTCCAACTAATTTTCTGTTTGCAACGTCATTTGTCTACCTCTCCATAATAAAATACAAAATAAAATGATTGGCAATGATAATATCAATCACTTGATATAGACTGACTGATTTATGTAGGATTGATTGTGCCAGTTAGGCACTTCCCAAGTGGAGTCTTAAAAATAAGAATAGCTTAAAAAATAATACTAAAATCATCACACATTGTTTCAAACACTTTCCATATTTCCAAAGGGCAGCGGAGAAAGGAAGAAAAAACAATTTAGAATAGTAGCAAACTTATTGCCACTTTTATGTGGATGCCCTGATTTTTAGTCTTAATGAAACTAACCCAGAGGGTGCAAAGTTGGAAGATGAATGATAAGACATTTGTGACCCTAGAGACTTTCAGTACTAAGCTGCTGTATGTTGCTTATCTTCTTCTGTGGAAAAGAAAGTGCATGCCCTTCTGTTTTGATTGACAGGGTGAAGATGTCCTTGTTAAGAGTTCTGAACTCATCTACTCTGGAGAGTTAACCAAAATTTCCCAGCCTCAAGCAAAAAGCCATCAAAGAATGTTCTTCCTCTTTGATCACCAACTTGTATGCTGCAAGAAGGTAAGCTAAGAGCTACTGCTGCCTCTGCCCACATACACTGTCTCCTGGTGGCAGCAAAATTACATCTTTTCTCAATTGCTTTTTAACATGTAGCATTCAAGCATTTTGTTTAAAGAACATGACAGTGTGTTGGCGGCTGACCTATTATACTAAGCATCACCATTTAAACAAATCAAGGAAAGAATCTGGGAGAGAAGCAGAAAGAGAGCTCTACAACAATGCCTATAAGGCTGACGTTTCTTTCAGGCTGGCTTTCTGTGGATTTGTACTAAGGTCATTAATGAAAAAGCCTGCTGTGACCTATTTTGCAACGCTGCAGGAAAGTCACGTATTTAGCATTTATAAAAGAAAAGATGCAGATGAAAATGCTATCAAATTAAATCCATCAGAATTGCCACCCGTGTTCTTCCTTAGAATTTAAATTCTACTGAGGTATGGTAAAACAAAGAATTCTACAAATATTTCCAACTAAATATGTATCCATCCAGTTAAGCATTAAAGTATATGCCTAAGTGAAATCCTCAAAGGATATGAACTGTGGTGGCGGAGTGGTTAGAATGCAGTATTGTAGACTAACTGTGCCCACTTCCAAGGAGTTTGATCCTAACCGGCTCAAGGTTGACTCAGTTTTCTATCATTCTGAGGTCAGTAAAATGAGGACCCAGATTGTTGGGGGCAATATGCTGATTTACAGAGAGTGCTGTAAAGCACTATGGAACGATATATAAATCTGCTATTCTATAAAAGAACAGATGTTATAAGAGGTATCATAATTCTTACATCTGTGATAGTGGATCTTTCCCTGCTTTATTTGTTTAGCCAATTGTTGTTGTTTTTTAAATACAGTTAAAGCTTAATGCTTGGTCCAGTTATAATATTCCAATTCCATTCTATGGTCATGTGAACAATTGCCAATCATTATGTAATACTTTGAAAACCCACTAAGTGGGTGATAGGGGGAAGTTGTGTATAATATTATACATAAATTAGTCAAATTAGGACATAAATTAGCCATAGTTTAATTGCTTCTTGCCTATGCAGATGTTCATACACACTGTTGTATTTGTTGATATTCAAGACATAGATAGCAACATCAGTATGTAGCACCCAATCTCAAAAAATATAACTTTTGGCCTAAGCTCCCAAAATTAATAGTGACTTTCTAAAATTGCTGAATTTGTAATCAGATTAATAAAATGGACTATTTGAACTTCTAGATTTATTCAAGCTTTAAAGAAAACCTGGGTGTTTCATTTTTCCTTCCCTCCTCACAGCTAGTGAGAAGACGCAATCCATTTAACCAATGAGCATATACAAATTCCTGGAGTACTGTATATCATAATTACTCTCCTAAAATGGCTATCATGGGAAGATGTGTCTCTTTACAAAATGGTGCCATAAAAGACAAATTAGTGATAATATCGTTGCCATTTCCTCTAGCCCTTCAGCATGTCTGCATCCCTGCTTATCTTTGTCCTTTTCTAGAGCTCTGCATAACTTTTGTATGTAACTTATTTTTATTTCCCAAGTGCCGATGGTGGTATGAGCTATTCTTATCAATAAAAAATGATAGATGTGGTTCTTTCTTGTGTACTATACATCTTTTTATAAAGCAAAGTCTTGTTTAAGTGGTAATATGTCAGTATATAAAACAACAAAAAGTGTTTTTATGCATTTTTCTACAAAAGCATACCTCCAAATATCTTATACTTACAAAACAAATCACATGAATAGGAAATTAATTATAGGTAGGGGTGGATAGTGAAAGAATGTGGTTCAGTGGTGAATGTCTGTGATTGGACTGAATTGGATCCACATCAATGACCCATATTGATATTCCCCCTATTTGGTGAGTGTTGGAGGCACAAACAACAGAGAGTGGTTGTTTATGGTGAGCTATGAGAATGGGATAACTGGAGGTGGGCGATGAGGGAAGAGAGAAGGTGGTTCCAACACAGTTGTGACAGACAAAGGAAAATAAGACGAGAGATTGAGGGTAGCTTGCTCATCTTTATGACAGGACTGATGCCAGCCATCATCCTGGTTATTGGATCTTTGGTATATATGGATTCTGGTTGTGATTCTTGAATACCAAATTGTAATGAGAACATTCATGATTAAATTATGGATGAGGCAGCCAAACTGGCATCATAACAAATGCCTGTGTGGCCTTAGAAGGGAGAGTTTCCTTTTGGAGATAATGCCATCTGGGTTTAAGTTTAGCACCAGCTGTAATTACAGGGCAGGGGTGGCTGGGATGCTACTTTGAGGCCTTTAAAACAGGGGTTTCCAACCCCCAGGCTGCAGTCCACTACTGTGCCATGTCCTGTTCAGAACCAAACCGCCAGGCAGGCTTGTGCATGCATGCAGCTCCACTTCTTCCAACTAATGGACCCTGCTGGATTCCAGAGAAAACTTGGAGGTTTTCTATAGGATTCAGCATTCCTTTTAAATATGACCCGTTGGGGAGGGATGAGGCTGTTTGTGAGGAATATGCTAGGGATTTGGCAGATAATTCAGATTTGTTCAGAGTAAGGCTTATCTTAATGAAGTGAAGGAAACAAAGCCCTGCATGGTTAGCTGGGATGAGCTTCAGGTAGTAGCTCATGAGGAGATGGACAGAATCCTCAGTATTGCTAATCCAACCGTTTATTAGATGTCCCTCCTGGTTGGTGAAGGCCTCCCAGGTGATATACGATTGGTTCCATTAGATAGTATTGGCTTCACTAAAGAGATAATCTATTTAAATATTAAATATTAATACCAATCTTTGTCAATATCAACAAGCAATTGCCCTTGTTGCAAAACAGAATTTTCTTCTCATTAGATCTTTTTCAGATTTTTGATTTCCTTGGATAATTGAGGGGTTTCAAGGCCTCAAGCTTGCAATAATGACATGACTGTAGAGCTGATTTGCTTCACATAATTTGCTAATTTCTTCTTTCCTGCTTGGAGAATTTCATATCCAAATAGCATTCCAGTCTTTGAAGGAAAGAAAAGAGTAAACTAGTAGAACATACAATTTATCTACAATTTATCCTCAGAACATGCAATTTATCTACAAGATTATCAGAAGAATTTCTTGAAGTGGAACATTCACATAATGATTTGATATATACTTCCTTTAGCAGTTGTCCTTGAAGTATATATCAAGGTATATTTAAAAACAGAAATACTTTGTCTTCAGAGAGCATTTTGGACCACATGCTTCCTAACCCAGTGGTTCTCAACCTGTGGGTCGGGACCCCATTTGGGGTCAAACGACCATTTCATGGGGGTCGCCAAACCATGCTGTCCGCCATTTTTTTCCCTTTTCCCTAGCTGTCCTACTCCCTCTTATTGGTGGCCACATCCACTTGGGGGTCACCACAACATGGGGAACTGTATTATGGGGTCACGGCATTAGAAAGGTTGAGAACCACTGTCCTAACCTAAGTAAATGTTCTTCAGAACTGTATGAATTTCTTATAGTTTGAATCATTCTAGAGACAAACTAGGTATCCATATGAATATAGCAAAATATCTTTTAGAAGCAGAGTTTGTAGGCAATCTATTTAGGAAATCTTACAGTGTAAGGCTATTTTGGACATTATTTCCATAATGTCTTGTCTTTGGCTATGCTGGCTGGGGTTTAGGTTTTAGAACTTCTGAATGGCACCTACCCTCGCACTAAGTGAAATCTCCCCCAATTCTTTCCTGGAAAAGGAATTTAATGTAAAACTTGAAAGTAATTTTTGTTTCAGATAAGAGGTTAAAAAAACTCTGTACCATTATTCTGTACATGAGAAATTGGTGGTTTTTGGCTAACCATTGTTGCATCTGAGAAGTGTGCACTAAAATATTTCTTTTTTTTTCTTAGGATCTCCTACGGCGTGACATCCTCTATTATAAGAGTCGGATCAACATGGATCTTATGGAGATTCTGGATATGGAAGATGGAAAGGATAAAGATTTTAATATTACTATTAAAAACGCATTCAAACTGTATTGCCAGGTCACTGAAGAAGTTCATTTATTCTGTGCAAAGAAACCAGAACAGAAGCAACGCTGGCTCAAGGCATTTGAGAATGAAAGGAAGCAAGTTCAGCTTGACCAGGAAACAGGTATGCAATAGCCATGAACCATCACTGTGAGCCACTGTGCTGAGAATGTCTTTCACTGAACTTTCCTACACCTTAACTATGTATTAAATTTTTAAAATGTTCCCACTTTGTTATTGACTCTACATTCTCAAGAATTTCTATCACATATAATTTTTGAATTTTTCCTAATCTTACTCAAGTGCTTATTTTATAAATCTAGTTTTGCAGACTACTCGTGAGTAAAAGACAGAGAACAGTGGCCCTTAATATGCTGTGGAATTATCAGTGAGTAAGGCAGCCCTGAACTTATGACTGGTCGCTTAACAAAGTTTTGAAGTTACAACAAACTGAAAAAAAAAAATTAACTATGACCCATCCTTGTTACAATTGCCATACCACCTCTGTGGTCCTATGACTGCATTTCGCGGGCTTGGCAACTGATGGCATTTATGGATGGCTGCAGTATCATAGGGTCATGTGAGAGTTTTTGCTGTTTTCTGGCAAAAATATGAACTCAGATTTATGATTACATGGTTTACTTAACAATCAAGGTAATTCACTTAACAGCCATCATAAAAATGGTTGTAAAATTGAATCTAGTCACATAATGATTCAACTTACAAATACCACAACTTACGACCAAAATTCTGGGCTCAATTATGAACATAAATCGAGGACTACCTGTATGGCCAACAATGAGGAAGGCTGAGAGGCAGAGTTCAGTAAAATCTGGAAAACCATAGGATGCCCTAAATTAGTATTTTCCAAGCTAATGCACTTCCAATCTGTTGGGTCTATAACTCCTAGAATTGCCAGCCAGCACTGTGAATTGTTAGGCTGACAGGGAATTATAGGGATTGTAGGCTCAATATATCTAGAGTACATCAGTTTGAAGAAGACTGCAATAGCATACAGTATCCCTTTATCTGGTCCCATGGAGACCCATTGCCTGCAGCAACTTTTTAGCCTTACAAATTGAGTTCTTCCTCTTAAAAAAATCTTTCTTGAAAACTAGACTATTTTCTGAACAGTTTAAGTCTAATTTTTTCATAGTTTCCATTCCTATCGCTTTCCTTCTCAGACCTTAACCTATATTTGTTAATTCCTATCTCCTCTCCTACATTTAGTTAAGGACTGCACAGGCTGCATGTTCTTTACAATACTTATTTGTGGGAGCTGAACAAAATAGTACATTAGATTGTACAATGAACTTATTCTGGAGATATAAAATTGAACTGCTTGGTATAGTTTCTATTGCACACATTGGGATTTTCTGCTTGATATAGCCCTTGTCTCCCTATGCATATGTTTATATTACTTAGCTAGAAAAGCCTAACTGGATTAACAGCTTCTTTTTCATGTTCAAGGTTTTTCCATCACTGAAATGCAGAAGAAACAAGCTATGCTTAATGCCAGCAAACAAAATCAGAGTGGAAAGCCAAAAGGCAAGTCAAGAGAGATGTCTGCCCTCCTTGTTCACCTTTCCCCTAAAATAAGTATCACAGCTCAATGGTCTAAAATTATTTGAGTTAATAGCCTATGATCCAATCCTTGGTTATCTTCAGAAGCTGCAGTTTAAAAAAAAAAGATCTATTTAGAAGCCAAGTAATTACTTTAGAATATTTTGGTTTTATTTGGTGGTACAGGAATCAGAAAGGTAACATCTTTGTCAAGCTGAACAATTCCAGGTAACCTCAAGGCCATATCCATGTAATTTTCATGGCAGTAATTAGGAAACACTTTACCACTGCCTTCCTGGAGAATGTGCTTTTTAACAGACCAGCATTTCTTCACAACTTTATGTGTGGATCAACATTCAGAATTCCCCATGACTGGGTTATAGCTCCAGTATTACTTAGACACCCCCCAGACAAATAATAATTAAATTGACTTTGCTTAACTTTTGAGCCTAGACAGGGTTGGCTGGATGCTGTCCCCTGCTGGGGCAGGAAAGTCATAGCATAGACTCTTTTATTAAAAATAGTAATGCATGCAGGATTTTACATCATCTTGATTTTACTGACTTTCTAACTATTTTAAAATGTGAAGATAGAATTTGGTGGGCCTTTCTAAGTCAAATCTTCAGCTCTGCCCCCACCCCTCCTGACTGAACTATATGTAAATGCCAGCATTTTGCTCATCATTCATCTTTCTAATAGGGAAGTGTTTTTACATTTTAAATGTAATGAGGAGACGGCACTTGTCTGGAGAAACAGGAGACATGCAATAAGTACTAAGTTTCTCACATGTCATTTCCAGGGTAAGGACAAGCTGGACTCATGTTTCGAACTGCTTAAATTGCATGGTAGGCATAAGATCATTAGTAGCCCCTTGAATTGTACCAGTGATACACTGCAAACTGAATTAATTGGAGTCTGTATTAAGACAAATCTTTAATTGCCCATTTTAAAGAATACTGTTTTTCAGTTTGACATCCTAATGTGTTTTGGGTTGTTTTACAACCTAATAATTAGGCCCCATATCCTAGAATAGCTATTACTACTCTGGCAATCTCCAAATGTATGGCAAATGCAAATTCAATGGGAGTTGCGGTCCCATCATATCTAGAGGTGTGAGAGTGAAGAAATCTGGTAAATAAAGTTTTGAGAGAAATAAACGAGAAACAATCCCAAAGATGCTTTTTCACGGGGCAATTGGATTTTCTTATTTTTCTTTGAAGACATTTCGCTTGTCATTCAAGAAGCTTCTTCTTGGGAATGGATGAGAAGCGAAATGTCTTCAAAGAAAAACAAGGAAGTCCAGCTGTCTCGTGAAAAAAGCATCTTTGGGATAACTATGACCTGGATGACTGAGAATCTCCACAGACCTAAACCGAGAAACAACCTCCAGACGATGTAATCCTCCCCCTTTCTTCCCATGTATTCACAATAACAGTCTGCTGCTGAACAACCATGTTTAAAGGTTGCAATTTGAGTGAAAAGCATATTGAGAACGGGACACTCCTGTTCTCAGAGGAGGCAGAGCAGAAGATACAGCTATAAAAAATTTTTTTTCTTTGCTCATTTCATCAGCAGTGATCACTAGGACATACTACGATTTCTTGATGCGCCAGAAACACCCTACTCTGCCTACAAACCTTCCCCAGCAGCAAGTCTTCATGCTGGCAGAGCCCAAACGCAAACCTTCAAACTTCTGGCAGAATATTAGCAGGCTGGCACCGTTTCGAAAATAAAGGGAGGCAGCCTGACCTTGTGCCTGAATCCCTTTTGAGACAGCACTTTATGCTTCGTCCTGCAAGCCCAAGCACTGCCTCCACCTCTGGTTTAGCATCCTCTTCCCCCACCCCCCACTCCCGACTCCTTTCCTTTGGATCAACTGGAAGAGCTTTGAAGTGTTATGATCCTTTTGTGTACGTGTGCATGTGTGTATGTCGGTGAAAATGAACTGAGACTGCCCATACAAATGCGTACCTAGGAGAAGACGGATGACAGAATATATGTATTTTTTAATTCCTTATTTTGTCCCTTTTATTCTGGACCACCCTTTCATCTGGGAACCTTTATTTGGGGATTCAAAAAGACTGACAGGAAAAGACAACAGTAGATGAGCAGCTACCACCACTTCTCGGTCATTTGCTCTGAGCAGCTGCTTGACATTCTTACTGGTGCCCATTTTCCTGGGATGATGAGGTTCTCCCTTCCTCTTATCCAAATTTTCAGAAATCCAGAACAGCCTGAACATTCCCAGAGATCAGATGTCACCTTCTCTTATGTCAAACAGCTGATCTGGAACCAGTACTTGATTAACCAGCCTGAAGTGTGGCTAACAGCCAGGACATTTTTAGTCTAATTGAGTTAATGTATATAGGGGAGGGGAAATGAGCCTAAATTACCTTTTAATTTCTTTTACTTTCTATAAACATTTTCTCATAACTCCTGGCCAACAATACTTTTCTTCAGTGTTTATAAAATGTTTATTTATGTAACAGTGCAAATAACTGTATTTTGTAAGTTTGTAATCTGTCTTGTCAGGTTTTAACTTGATGCCTCTTTTGCCTCTTCTTTTCCACCGAAGAAAGCCAACATTTGGAAGCCTGTATCAACCTTCCACAACTTGATGTCCTCTAATTGTGTGGAAGTCCCATTCCAAGAATTCCAAAATAGGTGCAGTGAGCTTTTGTGGACTCTGGGAGTTACAGTCCAGGTATATCTAGGAGGCAAATTATGGAAGAAAGGCTGACCTATATTCCTAAAGATACAATACGTAGATTTATCTAAAGATTAATTTCAGACATGCCAGGCACTTACAAACTAAGCAGTATTATTTGGAACTATTATCACCTATGCAACACTCTGCAGAGGAAGTGAGGGTGCGTAAGACAGGGATACAGATTCGCCAATTTTTATGGAGAGTGTATATTCAGATACTAACCACTTAAAATTGATGGCACTCTCTCTCTCTCTCAATATAATCTTTTGATTAGATAAAGTTTTGCCTTACAATAGTGAAATAGATAGAAGCCATAACTGACTGAATCCCATTGTTTAGGGATTTCCTGGTACTGTGAAATTAAAGTGAAGAACCCAATCTACCCTGGCATGACATTACTCCAGGGGAGTGAGCATTCAGCAGTGTGATGCAAAAAGTTGCAGGGTCTAACTGTAGCTGACCAGCCTTCAGTTATAGAAAGCTAGAAGCATGTACAGAATCATTCTTGCACTTTCTCTTTCCCTCTTTGGAGGGGTTACATTTAATTTCATAAAGAAAATTGTAAAACTGACTTTCACTCTTGTGTCTTTTTTTCTTATGCAGAAATGACTGGTAACCCAATAAGCATGTCCTTTGCATTTGATTACCCTTAAATGAACAATTAGTAGTTTGCCTTGGAGCAATCAGCACAGTTTTTATTTCATACTAAGTGTATCCTTGTGTTTAGTATGTATCATTATGTATCTGTAGTTCTACATATTGAAATGGTAGTTTCATTCCCAAGAAAACCAAACAATATAGGAAAGGGTAGGATAGCAGAAGCATATATCCAAAGTTTCTAGGCAGTCAAAACTCCTCATCTTTTACCTTAAAAATAATATAAGAATAAATTAACATCTGGTCATGCTGAGTCTCAAATAGCAATCATGTTAATTATGCAGGTCACTCACCCTTGTGTTAGTATATGAATACATACATCAGAATACAATTTCAACAGTTGCAAAGATAACGGCTAAATATTTTGTCTTTGAATTAACACTCAATTGTCATAACCACATAATCATATTGTTTTCTTGCCATAATGCAGAAATGGATCCACTGTCTTCTAGGGTAACTTTTCAGCTTTCCAATCCAATCTACGGTCATGGAATTCCTTCCATCCCCCACTCAAATAATTGGGTCTGACATTTATTAATATTTTTTAACATTAGCCACCTTCAGACAAGTGCTGTGTCCTGCTGCAATGCTAACACAATATGTTTAGTTTGAAAGCTTGTTCAGTAGGCACATATTGCCACAAACACACTTCTCATCAGATATTTTAACCATTCTTTGAGACTTTCCAGGTTGCCTGAACATACTACTATCTGGAAATTAGGAACTGTAGTCTGTAACAAAACATTCCGGTTTTCCAAAACCTAAAGTGGTCATTCTGATTAGAATGATATAATGAAGCATAAAGCTAATTAAACTGTGATGTGGGAGAAATAACATTTATGCACTTGTTTGAGGTATTTTATAAATATAATATGTTAAGGTTGCAGTTTAATCACTCAAGAAAACAGCAAGTAGTAAAAGAAAGCTGGCAGTGATGCTAGTGTCATGGCCCAAGGTATTTTTATATTTATATGGTTACATTTAAAACCTTAAAAGTCTTTGGTTGCTTCTACAGTAATTGAGAGGAATACAGATGAAAGTCTGAGTCAGGTGAGACTTCCACAAATTGAATGGAATGTATTTTAACAATATTACAATTTCACAATTTTGTTTTAAAAAAGCTATCATACGTACACAGGCATAAACATTGTTCTGAGATAATCTGGAAATAGGCCAGATTTCAGAACAGAGTGCGGTTTCTTTCATTTAAATGGAAAAAAATTTGAATCCCACCACTGGTGACATGTTATGTAGCGTGGCGAATTTGACACCTGTGGCCTACACCACAGCCTCCAACCTAAATTTGGGGTCCAGTGGTACTGTAATTGCAACACAGGCAAGGCTATAAACTGCTCTATGTAATAGTAATCACTTGAAGAAAGGTAAAATAAAACCATTAACACATAGATCAATTATTTTTGCTTGCTGCTTATCTTTCAAAGTTCTGATCAGTGATCTGATCAGCTTAGTGCTTTGCCACATTTCACCTCACATTCTTCTAAATAGATGAGTTTAGCATTATTCGCATCAAATAAGGAGTATGGCAAATAATTGGTCACTCTATTTGGCTTTGAGCAGGCTTTGCCTTGAATTCTAGGCCGCACACATTTAAGGATTCAGAAAAATCAGAACAGGTTCAGAGAAAGATGATGAAATTAAGCCCTATGAAGAGGCTGAAAGAACTGGGTGTACAGCCTTGAGAAGTTGACAGTGGCATTTTCCAAAGATCTATTGTACCCCATCCCAGTCACTTCTTTGTGAGATGAGCAGCTATATAAACTAGATAAATAAAAGTCACAAGTAACATGAACTCTGAATTCTCATTAGGGGGTGCATGGCATGAAACAGATGTAAGTTACAGAAAGGCAGATTGTTAGAAAAAGTTTTCATTTGATAAGAACCAATTACCTGGAGGGTGGTGGGTTCTCTCTATTGGTTATTTCAGTGGTTAGGTAGGCATGTTTCTGGAATGCCAATTTAAATCCCTACCCTGAATAGGCAGTTGAACTTACTAAATTATTCCTTCTAATACCAACCCCCCTCCCAACTTTCATTAAACATGGTAAAATTTCAATTCTCTAAAAGTATGCGAAATTTAAAATTAAAACATTTATTGCCAAGAAAGAAAGAAAAATCTGCTAATCTCACTTTAATATTTTTCTTTCATTGAAACCTGCAAATTGTTTTAAAATTTTATGGATGGTGTAAGATGTGAATCAAACTACTGTTCCTTAGTAAATTAGAGGCAGGTAATGTGAATTCCTTCAGATGTTTTAAATCACAATTCTCACAATCCACTGTTAATAGCTTTGCTGACTGAGACCCATAGCAATTGTGATCCACAACTTGTAGAATGTGCAGATTGCCTATCTGTCAGGGATAAACAGTTTCTAGCACAGTGCAGATTGAAAGGCCTAAACATCATTTAAATGTAACAACATATTTTTGAGGATTGTAGTTGCAAAAGAAAAAAAAGCATTAAGCAACACAGTCAATCTTTATTGAAAACTGAAGTATTAATACATAACAATTCCTGTTACATAAACGTGCTTTTAAGAATTTAACTCTGAGCTCATCTACTCATTCGATTGTATAATAAAAATGAATTTTACACAATTGGCTCAGAATGGAATTGCCACTCCTATGTGTTGATGCAAAAGATGTGATGCTTTAAACTTCTGGAAGACAACATTGACCTAAACTTGGGGAAAAGTACCAATACAACTGTTTTAAGACAGTTTCTTTTTTTTAAAAAAAAATTATATAAAAAGGAAACCTGTGCCTATTTCATAACAACACTATTACTGGGGCCTCTTGCACTTCTGTTGCATGCATTCCCCTTTTCACCCCACAAGGGCAGCCAATAATAGCACTACAATAAAATCCCACTAACAAATCCATTCTACTAAAAACAAGTTTGTACAGCAGCAAGCTAAGTGAAGCTTCCACAGTTTGCTTGCTAAGTGCTCAAAAGTCATATCAGATTAGAAAAAGTCATATAGATACTGATGACAGAGAATTGGAAGTCAAACTGTTCAGACTATCTTGGCATGTTAAATTGGCTCCCGATATTGGGATGCTCAAATAGCTCCATGTCATTTTAGAAAGAGTGCCCATTTCATTTAAAATCAGTATCTCATAAATACCAATGTCTTCGGTAGGCTGAAGAGAAAATTCAAGGATAATACAACCCCTCCCCAGTTACTTGTCACTTGCTGTCTTTCAATCTCTACTGACAGGTTGAACAAGAATTAGATGTTTAATATAAATGCAGCTCCTTTGCTGCACTGCTGTCTCCCTTTTGCTATTATTCCACATGGATGGGATTGTTAGATATACTGAGAATGACTACAGAGGAAAAAGTTGAGAGGGAAAGCCAAGTGCAAACAAACACTGCACAGGTTAAAAACAAATCACAAAGTGATTTCTAGATTGGGGCTCAGTGTTTGCAGGCAAAGGCAGAAAGGTAATGTACTAAATTAGCAAACCACCTAATGCAGAATGCAATGTTAAGCTTCACTGTCAGAAAATGATTATCAATATCTTTTTTTTTCTTGCCCCAGAACAGACCCTTAGTGTTGGGTGTTTGCTTCTTAGAATCAACAGAACAATGTAATACAAACTAGTTGAAAATGTTTTGCTTCCCTGCATTTTGACTGTAACAAAATTAATTTAGTTTTATAATGCCAAAACCAAGCAATAAGAATGCTCAGTAGAAACACACAAGAACAAAAGGTTTTCCCTAATAAATTCAAAATTCTCCACTGAAGTTAAAATTACTTTGCAATGGTCATGGAATATTGACTATATGGAATCTGTGCCAAGTTTTAGTCATGACAGATTAAAAACTCTGCTCTCACAGGGTTACATTTCAGGAACCCAAATAAAGCAAAACTTCTTCCTTCCATTATCTCCATCGTGGCATCAAGACACATTTTGTGGTAATGTATGAGCTTCTCAGAGTATTTCAATGTATGTCTACCATAATATTTTAGTTATACAATTATTACTTCAATTAAAAATGGGAGATTCAGTTTCATGTCAGTTGGTTAGCGTTAATACCACTGATTACATCTACAAGTATTTCTTGGCCAAATATAAAGTAGAATGTGTCTATTTTGCTATTTTCAAAAAAAAAAAAAAAAGACACTTCAAATATTGTGTTATCTAGTTTGAAAATGTCTCCTAAACAATGCCTTCAGTATTATTTAAAACCTAGCCTTTGAAATTAAACTCAGATCTTTTGTTTTCTGTTATTGCTGTAATATGTTACTGTATTCCCCTCTAGAGCTGCATTTGTTTGAAAGCAGCTTGATTGGAGCCTTGTCTCTGCTGCATCAACCTCCTTTGAAGGAGTTTCAATGCAGCTACATACTAAGAATTAGAGGCTTTACCTCACCCACCCTCCCATATAGGAATTCTAACCAGGGAACTAACAGCCAGGAGAAAAAAAAATCCACAATATCCTGTCTAGTACACCCATTTGAAGTACAAACTTTGTTTCATAGTCATGCTTTTTTAAATTATTTGCAACAATATACCAAGCTATATACATCCTCTCATCACTGTGCTTTTGGTTACTTTCCTACTGACACTATCGGAGATATGGACTTATCTCCAATAAAATATCATTGCCCCCTCCCCCCAAATTCTGGAAGGTGCAGTAATTTTTGCAAGAAGTACTATTCCTCAAGGGACAGCATAGTACTATTCCTCCATTGCAGATGAATCCCATAAAACAACTCAGAAAAAAGTGCTCGAAGTCTGATTACCCTAAAAGCTGTTACTATCACTGTATTTTTTTTAAAAAAACAACAACAACCAAGGAAGTATTTGGAAACTGAAACTTGAGGAAAACCAAATACAATTTATCTTTATCATTTACAAAGTGCTGCACTGGCTACAGACATCAGGACATTTATATAAAGAGATAAGCTTTTATTTTCAACATGTCCCTGGCAAACTATTTTTCAAAACTCACATCTGTGATAATGTGGCAAGAAACATTTAACTTTAAAAGCCTGCTACACTGGCTAAGTGTCCATACTGAATAATCAATAAGTTTAAGGAGCACTCTTCAGAATGATGACAACGTCACAAATGGAATAGCTAAGCAGACCCAAATGGCAAGAAAGAAAGAATTTGCTTGTTCTATGGATACAGAACTTTCTCGGCTGCAATAAGTGCTCAAGATTAAAATGTAAGAATACATACGATTATGTTGTGTCACTGGCATTTGGATAAAGATATTATATAATGATCCAAAGAAAATACATTTTATGTAAAACAAAAGAGTATGTTATTGTTCAAACGTCGTAAAAGCCGTTTCAAAGGGATTTGAGGCACAGAAGATTCTTGCCTCAGAAGAAAAAATAGGATGGTAGTACTAAAATCAGTTTCCAAGCTACATATAAGTAGTTGTAATATCTGATTTAAAAACTTATCATCCCAATGTTGGGATGCTCAGTCTCACCATTAAAAAACCCCAACAACTTGCAAATATTTTACCAATACTATAAACTAATCTACAAATGTTAAGTTTAAAAGGGAACATTTTAACCTTTGACTACACTATTTATTGCAGACAGGAAATACTGGGAATAATAATTGGTGCCAATTCAAAGAAAGCCCTTGATTGCTTTTAGCACTGAAATTAAAACCTAAAATAAAAATTTAAAAATCCCATAATAATTTTGGTGCACAAACTGGTTCCAAGACTAGCCCTATATCGCCACAGCATTGACTGAGGTACTTCTACAAAGACTCAAAGCTGCAGGTAAGGAGTTCGCTGCAATGAAATACTGCATCTGTTTTCTTAATTTCAATTTTTCCAAATGCAATTTAGGAGGTAAAAAAGTATATGCCCAAGATTATGCCAAAAGAAAAGTATTACCAAAAAGAATCTTTGTACTTGATCACTTTTGAATTTAGTCCTACTTTTAGGTATATTCTAACAATTGCTTCCATACTTGGTTCATATCCATGCTGCAAGGAAAATAAGTCAATAAAATGATTTAATTAGTTTGCTCCCCTTTAATATATATAAAAAAGGACATTTTTCTTCAGAATATGTTGAATTCTTTTCTATTGAAATATTGATATGACTATGCTTTTACAAAAGAAAGCTGCTCAAACTATCAATCTGGCCAAGATTAGCCCATTTTTGTTGGAAGGGTGGACCTGAACAAAATTGAACAAAATTCTATTTTACAGCAGTGTGGAAATCATTGACATCAATCACTTAAGACTGTTCTTAGGAGGTAAACCATTATGTGGATGATTTTCCACCAAATATTCCAATGATGATTAATGATTTAGATAGCAAGACTTGTAACCATATTTTTCCTGTAATGTTTTTGTCCTTGAGAATGTCTATATTAACACTGAAACCAAAAAGTGGAAATATAAAGAACTTACAAATAACAAATGGTTCCTTTGCAAGATTTCTACAAAATCATTTTCCAGTCACTGAACCGGAAAGAAAAATACCACCATTTTTTCTCCCTTTACCTGGTGTCTTAAAACGTTAACACACTTGCTAATTAGAATGATGAAAAAAAATCACTGTCACAATTCTACCTCTTTAAGACCCTGCGAACATCACAACAGTGCATTAGTGATATAAACTGTAAAATACTTTTCGGCTCCTTTGGATTTTGCATATGACAATTTTTGCATCAGTCAGAGCAGGTAGGTTGAGCAAGCTTTGCGAGTTTTAGACATGCATTCAACTAGATATGAATCAATAAATTTATACTCCCTTTAATCATTATAATTAGCTAAAAATTGCAAGACAGTCCACAAAACAGGATTTGCTTTAAGACTAACTGCTGGAGTTCCAAGATGTAAGATATGCAGCACTGGGAAGTCTTCAGTGGAATTAGTGTTTAGCAAAGGATTGCAAGCATTCAGAAGAAACAAGTCCTGGTTGGAGGCATGAAGGCTTCAGCACCAACTTTTAAACCTCAATTACTTGATTGCATATCTCCCATCTTCAAATCTGCATTCAAAAAGAGGCAAAAAAAGAGAGCTAAATATCCACTCTGACTTTTGATAGTCCTACACTGGCGAAATCACTACAGCTATAAATATACAAATACTTACACTGGGTAATGGTGATCACCACTGTGGGGGCACATAACTATAGGTTGGAGTTCCTGGAGCTCGATAAGTGGGCATTGTAACTTGGTGAGGGGCTACGGGAGTTGGGGAATGTGTTGTCAACAAGGTACCTGGGGAGGAAAAAATATTTCCACACTTAATTGCTTCATAATTAACACTCTTCGTTGTTTATAAGTAATTTTGAAGTTGGCATAGCCATCAGAATTTGTTACAGAAATTATATTTGCAAACTCTGCTGTCCTGTTTTTGTTTCCCCAGCATTTTGTATCTTATACAGCCTATGCCTTCCAAATATTTTAGGACTGTAACTCCCAGAATTCCCAATTAAAATGATATTAAGACATGGCACAGAATTAAATTCACTTCTTGAAATACCATGTTAAAAGTTCTCTCTGCACTTTGACAGACAACTAATAAATATTCTATAAATCAGAATACAGGTAGTCCTCCATTTATGACAATTGAGTCCAAAATTTCTGTTGCTAAGTGACAGTTAAGTCAGTTTTGCCCCATTTTATGATGTTTCTTGCCACAGTTGTTAAGCTAATCACTGCAGTTGTTAAGTCAGCAACCCGTTGTTAAGTGAATCTGGCTTCTCCATTGACTTTGCTTGTCAGGTCACAAAAGGTGATCACATGATCCCAGAACATTACCACCATCATAAATATTAGTTGCCAAGCATCTGAATTTTGATCATTTGACCATAGGGATGCTGCAATAGTTGTATGTGTGAAAAACAGTCATAAGTCACTTTTTTCAGTGCCTCTGTAACTTCGAATGGTCACTAAACAAACTGTTGTTAAGTCAAATAACTACCAGTACTTTGTATACAATTGACTTGTGAGGCTCATTGTCACAGAAGGGCCTGCATTTTAAAATGTGTTTGATAGATGAAAGATTATTAGTTACAAGAGTCAAGAATGTTAGTGCTATGTGCCAAAGAGATTATCTGTTTACCAATGGTTGTCTGAGAATTTATATGTAGCAGCCAACCGGCCCCACTAATGAGTATCAACTGCTCTAAAACACCAATACCACATCACAGACTGTTGGAATAAAAGAAAATTCACATACCTGCAGACATTGCCATTGTGGTCCCAGCCACCATTCCCATGGTGACACCATTTCCTCTGGGAGGTGGAATTGGTGCTGGATACATAGTTGCAGGCATTCCATTGGGCTGCACAACTGTAGTGTGATGGATTACGTGGGGTGGTGCTGCATATAAAGGCTGTGTGTAGTAAGTGCCTTGCTGTTGAAAAAAATGGTTGGTTTACTAAAATTCTTTCCAGTACTACTGATACATACTAAAAGGCCACATGGTTTCAAGGAAATGCCATTATTTTACTTATACACATCAGGTATGAGTCGGGCCCTTCAAAAAGGAAAAAAAAAAAAAAGAACGGATTACTGTTCATCAGTAATAATGAGTTTTCAGTTCTCTCAAAACTATTCCTAATTAACTGCTCAATCAATCTGAACTAATTGGGAAGCACAAGTGCAATTGCATGTTAACCAGAATTGCTGGCTTGTATCTCTAAATAATCCAGAAACAAGAAGCCAATAATCATGTTGTTTTGAAGGCAAATTATCAACTATAAGCCAGAATTCACTAAAATTCTGATTTATACTATACAAATGATTAATGATTAAACCCCTGCCCCAAGCCATCACAGCACTAAGAATCTAGAAAATGACAACAGTTCCACTTGTTATATAATTAACTCAAAGAACTCTTTTTACCTGTGCATATGGATTCTGCTGTGGATAGGCACTTCGAACTGGGTATACTGCAGTTTGATAAGGATTGGGAGATGAAGAATAAGGAGGCACTGTACCACTGGTAGGTGAGCAAGAGACTTTATATGGTGTGCCTGGTGTATAACCTATATTAAAAGATAGCCAAGTGTCAACGTTGTGTTTCAACAATTTGCAATATTCATATTATTAAATGGTGAAAAACAGCATGATCCATTTTTAAAAAATTAAAATAGGAACAAATTGCTGCCCACAACATATTATT